TAGGAACGCCACTGATTCTTTGCTAAAAAAGATCCCAATACATGTAAATTAATTGGTTTACATGAAAGTTATAGCGTTTACAAATGGCAGTATATATATTGTTTTTTTTTTACTAGTAATGGCGGTGATCAGCGACTTATAGCAGGACTGCAGCAGGCTTTCTGACCTGGGGGGGGAGCTGACTTGGTGTCACTGACATCCTCAGTGACACCAATACAGTGATCAGGGCTAATATAAAGCACTGACACTGTACTAATGGCACTGGGCAGGAAGGGGTTAGCATGGGGGGTGATCAAAGGGTTAACTGTGTGCTGTTTTACTATGAGGCTGTGTGTGTCTTTCACTGTACGCACACTGCTTTGTATGGCTCTGCTCTGGATTGTCCCTTTCAGTGGCATCACTTTCCTATTAATGACAATGGAACTGTTGTACTTCATCCTCCTGTCCTCAGAGCACACGGTGACAGATTTGTAGGCTGGCTGCTGTGCCAACCTCGCCATCCGCCAACAGAGCCAAGGTCACGTCTCTGCTGGTGACTAACAGGTTGTGGACTTCATGACGTCAACCGACTACACAAAGTCTACAATGGGGAACAAATGTAACAATGTTCCACAGGGAGACGAGGAATCCTAGACTGCCCACTAGTGATGAGCACATGGAGGGATTTATCCCTGACAACATGCTGAGTGCAGGAGGTGGTGTGGCTAAGATCAGGTGTAGGGTGTGTTCTTAGCGGGGGCCAGCAGTGGCGCTCCACTGGGATGGTTGGCTGGATGGTATCCCTGTTGATGGGGGTCCTGAGGGACCTTTCCTGTGGGAAGGAATCTGAAGGTGGGGGTCAGTAGTCCCCAGCGTGGAGGGACCCCAGGGGCCCAATGGTTTCTGGTTGGAGCAATGCTCCCTGGTCTGGCTGAGGGCCAGGAAGGTGTCAAACCCCATGAGTGCTAGGCCATGACACCACCCGCCTTGTTTCTGCACCTCGTCTCAAGGGCTACATATGTTGTCTGAGACCAACCAATGTGTGTTCCCCGGATGTACTTCATGTTAGCACTTCAGAGTTCTGCTGGTCTTAAGGGTGGAGTCGCCCCGAGGGGGACATAGGAATCCTCTGCTGGGCCCCCAGTATATGTGGTATAATGTATACCTGTCTACCTACCTGCATGCCTGTCTACCTACCTCCCTCCCTATCTACCTGACAGTCTACCTACCAACCTGCCTGTCTACCTACCTTTCTATCTACCTGACAGTCTACTTACCAACCTGCCTCTCTATCTACCTGACAGTCTACATACCAACCTGCCTGCCTGCCTACCTACCTCTCTATCTACCTGACAGTCTACTTACCAACCTGCCTGTCTACCTACCAACCTGCCTACCTACCTCTCTATCTACCTGACAGTCTACTTACCAACCTGCCTGTCTACCTACCAACCTGCCTACCTACCTCTCTATCTACCTGACAGTCTACCTACCAACCTGCCTGTCTGCCTACTTATCTACCTGCCTGTCTACCTACCTCCCTATCTACCTGACAGTCTACTTACCAACCTGCCTGTCTACCTACCTCTCTATCTACCTGACAGTCTACCTACCAATCTGCCTGCCTGCCTACCTACCTCTCTATCTACCTGACAGTCTACCTACCAACCTGCCTGTCTGCCTACCTACCTCTCTATCTACCTGACAGTCTGCCTACCAATCTGCCTGCCTACCTCTCTATCTACCTGACAGTCTACCTACCAACCTGCCTGTCTACCTACCTCTCTATCTACCTGCCAGTCTACTTACCAACTTCCCTGTTTACCTACCTACCTCTCTACTCTCTACCTACCAACAGTCTACCTACAGTCTACCTACCAACCTGCCTGTCTGCCTACTTATCTGCCTGCCTGTCAACTACCTCTCTATCTACCTGACAGTCTACCTACCAACCTGCCTGTCTACCTACCTACCTCTCTATCTACTTACCAACCTGTCTATCAGCCTACTTATCTGCTTGCCTGTCTACCTACCCCTCTCCTTACCTGACAGTCTACCTACCAACCTGCCTGTCTACCTGCCTACCTCTCTACCTGACAGTCTACCTACCAACCAGCCTGCCTGTCTGCCTACTTAAATGTCTGTCTACCTACCTACTTCTCTATCTACCTGACAGCCTACCTACCAACCTGCTTGCCTGTCTGCCTACCCTACCTGTCTGCTAGCCTGTCTACCTACCTGTCTGCTTCCTGTCTACCTACCAGTATGTCTGTCTGCCTACCATTTTATCTCTTTGCCTGCCTACCTACATGTCTGTTTACCTACCTGCCTATCTGTCTACAGGTGCAAGTTTTACTACCCCAAATGCCTGCCTGTACTTGCATGCAACTGTCCAACACAACCAATGCAGGTCTATGCAATCTTCTGTGTGCGATGCAGAAAGGAAAGGGTTCAATCAGCCAGTGAGGAGGTGACATAATATCTCACCACCTATCAAGTGCCCTCTAAAGAGCAATCCACTTCGGATCAGAGGACACCATGAATGACACCTAAGAAGTGGCCTGCAGATATAAGTGACCAATGAAGTGACTGATAAGTATTGGGGGTGAAAGGTGAACATTTTCAGGGCCACAATTGTAACATTATAACCGTGGTGCTCCTTCCACCTCTCCCCTGTGGGACCCCAGGGCCCAGTGTTTAGGGGTGTCATGGCCTTTCTTTGGCTCCTGAGGGCTGTTGGAGCTTCTCTCCCCTCTCTGGATCTCCTGTCCCCTCTGTAGAGCTCCCCTCTCCCCTCTGGATCTCCTTTCTCCCCTCGGGATCTCCTCTTCCCTCTCTGGAGATCTCCTCTCCCTCTCTGGGGATCTCCTCTTCCTCTCTCTGGGGATCTCATCTCCCAGTCTGGATCTCCTCTCCCTCTCTGAATCCCCTCTCTGCATCCCCTCTCCCCTCTCTGCATCCCCTCCCTGGATCTCCTCTCCTCTCTCTGGATCTCCTCTCCTCTCTTTGCATCTCTTCCCCTCTCTGGATCTCTTCTCCTCGGTCTGAATCTCCTCTCCCCTTTCTGGATCCCCCCTCCTCTTTCTGCAACTCCTCTCCCATCTCTGGATCTCCTCTCCCTTATCTGGATCCTCTACTCTCTCTGGATCTCCTCCCCCTCTCTGGATCTCCTCTTTCTGCAACTCCACTCCCCTTTCTGGATCTCCTCGCCCCTCCCTTGGTTTCTGCTCTCCCATCTCTGGGTCTCTCCTCTCCCCTCTCTTAGGATCCCCTCTCCATTCTCTAGATTTCCTCTCCCCTTTCTTAATCTCCTCCCTTCTCTCTGTATCTCCTATTTCCTCTTTGGATCTCCTCTGCCTCTCTGGATCTCCTCTGCCCTCTTTGGATCTCCTCTGCCCTCTCTGGATCTCCTCTGCCCTCTCTGGATCTCCTCTGCCCTCTTTGGATCTCTCCTCTCTCTCGCTTCTGCCCTCTTTGCCCTCTTTGGATCTCCTCTGCCCTCTCTGGATCTCCTCTGCCCTCTCTGGATCTCTTCTCCTTTCTCTGGATCTCCTCCTCCTCATTGGATCTCCTTTCCCCAACTCCTCTACCCTTTCTGGATCTCCTCACCCCTCCCTGCATCTCTCCTCTCCCCTCTGTGGGTCTCTCCTCTCCCCTCTCTGGGGATCTCTCTTCCTCTCTTGATCTCCTCTCCCCCCCTCTATGCATCTACTCTCCCCTTTCTCAATCTCCTCTCTCTGCATCTCCTATTTTCTCTATGGATCTCCTCTGCCCTCTCTGAATCTCCTCTCCCCTCTCTGAATCTCTTCTGCTCTCTGGATCTCTCTGCCCTCTCTGAATCTCCTCTCCCCTCTCCGAATCTCCTCTGCTCTCTGGATCTCCTCTGCCCTCTCTGGATCTCTTCTCCTCTCTTCTTTCTGCAACTCCTCTCTTCTCTCTGGGGGAACTCCTGTCCCTCTCTGGATCTCTATCTCCTCCTATTTCCTCTGTGGATCTCCTCTATCTTTGGATCTCCTCTGCCCTTTCTGAATCTTCTCTCCCCTCTCTGGATCTCCTCTGCTCTCTATGGATCTCCTCTGCCCTCTTTGGCTCTCCTCTGCTGTCTCTGGATCTCTTCTGCTCTCTTTGGGATCTCTTCTCCCCTCTCTGGATCTTCTCTCCCGTCTCTGGGTCTCCCTTCCCCTCTCTGGATCTCCTCTCCCTTCTCTGAGTCTCCTCTCTCTGTATCTCCTCTCCCCTCTCTGGATCTCCTCTGCCCTCTCTGGATCTCCTCCCCCTCTCTGGAACTCCAGTCCTCTTTCTGGAACTCCTCTCCCTCTCTGGATCTCCTCTCCGCTGTCTGGATCCCCTCTGCCCTTTCTGAAACTCTTCTCCCCTCTCCTCTTCCTTCTCTGCGTCTCCTCTCCATTCTCTGGATCTCCTCTCTGGACCTTTTCTTTCCTCTTTCTGAGACTCCTCTTCCCTCTCTGGATCTCCTCCCCATTCCCTGGATCTCACCTCCACTTTCTGGATCCCTTCTCTCTCTCTGGACCTCTTCCCCATTCTCTGGATCTCCTATCATCTTTCTGAAACTCCTCTCCCCTCTCTGGATCTTCTCTTTCAGGATCTCCTCTCCACTTTCTGGATATTCTCTCCTATCTTTGAACCTCTTCTCCATTCTCTGGATCTCCTCTTCTCTGTGGAGTTTTTCTCTCCTTTTGGATCTCCTCTCTCTAGACCCCCCCCCCCCCCTCCTTTCTGTATCCCCTCCCCCCTCTCTGGAGGCCCCTCCCTCTCCAATAATAAATACAGAGAAGGCGGAATAGCGGAGAAATAATTCGAATTACAAATGAAAGGAATAAAATGAATAAAATAAAATGAAAATTACAACGAATGATTGAGAGATGAAGAGATTTTTTCCCTATAAATCGCACCTCAGCTGGGGGCGGGGCCGGTAGATGTGTGGGCTGTCTGTGTGCAGCGCTGGGAGTGAGACCGCCGAGTAGTGCTCAGCAGCTGGAGAGCTCCGCAGTGCGGTCGGGCGGCTCTCTGCTCCCTCCGCTCATACAATCGGTGCGGGCGGGCCCGGCACACACACGGATATCTCCGCACACGGGGTGCGAGCATTTCTACAGCTGCGTACAGGGAAGGGGGGCCCCCGGGGGCCACAGGGCTCCCCTCATCATCTCCCAGTATGGAGGGGCCCCGGGACACCGACACCGAGAGGAGGTATTCCGACATCTTCCGACTGCTGGACTCCAACCAGGATGGACATGTGGACATCAGCGAGCTGCGAGCCGGCCTGGAGGCCCTGGGGGTCCGGGGAGGAGAGGAGTCCGGGAAGGTGGGTACTCCCAGTGCCGGGGGGAGAGGAGACCGGGAAGGTGGGTACTCCCAGTGCCGGGGGAGAGGAGACCGGGAAGGTGGGTACTCCCAGTGCCGGGGGGGGGGAGAGGAGTCCGGGAAGGTGGGTACTCCCAGTGCTGGGGGGAGAGGAGAGGGAAGACCGCGGGGAGAGGAGTCCGGGAAGGTGGGTACTCCCAGTGCTGGGGAGGGAGAGGAGACCGGGAAGGTGGGTACTCCCAGTGCCGGGGGGAGAGGAGACCGGGAAGGTGGGTACTCCCAGTGCCGGGGGGAGAGGAGACCGGGAAGGTGGGTACTCCCAGTGCCGGGGGAGAGGAGACCGGGAAAGGTGGGTACTCCCAGTGCCGGGGGGGGGAGAGAGGAGTCCGGGAAGGTGGGTACTCCCAGTGCCGGGGGGAGAGGAGTCCGGGAAGGTGGGTACTCCCAGTGCCGGGGGGAGAGAGTCCGGGAAGGTGGGTACTCCCAGTGCTGGGGGGGGAGAGGAGACCGGGAAGGTGGGTACTCCCAGTGCTGGGGGGGGAGAGGAGACCGGGAAGGTGGGTACTCCCAGTGCTGGGGGGGGGGGGGGGGAGAGGAGACCGGGAAGGTGGGTACTCCCAGTGCTGGGGGGGGGGGGGAGAGAGGAGACCGGGAAGGTGGGTACTCCCAGTGCTGGGGGGGGGGAGAGGAGACCGGGAAGGTGGGTACTCCCAGTGCTGGAGGGGGGAGAGAGGAGACCGGGAAGGTGGGTACTCCCAGTGCTGGTGGAGCACAGAAGGTGGGTACTCCCAGCACTGAGATATAGGGGGAGAGGAACTCGGTGATCTCCTACACCCTGTAAACTGATATACTGCCTACAGGAGCAGCAGGTACACCCAACACTGATCACCCACACCCAGCACTGATATCATGCACCCAGCACTGATCACCCAGCACTGATATATCATATACCTAGCACTGATCTCCCCACAGCCAGCACTGATCTTATTCATGACACTGACTTATCTTACACCTATTATTCTTTCCCTCACATTGATATATCATACTTCCAGCACTGATATCCCACACTCAGAACAGATATCCTACACCCAGCACTGATCTCTTATTCATGACACTGACATATTCTACACCACCACTAATATTCTATCCCTGACATTGATATCCTACACTTGGCAGTGATATACTTCCAGCACTGATCTCCCACACCCAGCACTGATTGGGTATCCCTGGCATTGATAACCTACACACAGCATTGATATATACAGTTGTGTCCAAAATTATTCAACCCCCAATGCTGTAAAGGGGTTTAGGGACTATAGTGTACATTTGGAATTGTATTCAGAATCAAATCCTACAAGGACGTTGTAACTACCCAAATGCAACTAAAATGACATCAATTGTTTATGTAATACAGTAGTAAATGGTTCTTATGTGGTTTCTTCATTGCCACAATTATTCAACCCCTTAAAGACTACCACTCTGAAGAACAGAGGTTCATACAGGTGCTTTCCATCAGGTATTGAAAACACCTGTGGATGTCACCGAGCAGCAATCAAGCATAATAAGCACCAATTAGGCAGCTTTAAAATGACTGTGATACTCAGCTCCTTCTAGACATTTACTGGTGTGGTTACAAACATGGTGAAGGCAAGAGAATGGTCCAGGAAGACAAGAGAAGAGGTGATTTCTCTTCACAGGAAGGGCAATGGCTATAAGAAGATTGCAAAGATGTTAAACATACCAAGAGACACCTTAGGAAGCATCATTCGCAAATTCAAGGCAAAGGGCACTGTTGAAACGCTACCTGGTCGTGGCAGAAAGAAGATGCTGACTTCGACTGCTGTGCGCTACCTGAAGCGTAGAGTGGAGAGAAGTCCCCGTGTGACTGCTGAGGAACTGAGAAAAGATTTGTCAGATGTGGGTACAGAAGTTTCAGCCCAGACAATAAGACGCACACTGCGTAATGAAGGCCTCCGTGCCAGAACTCCCAGGCGTACCCCCTTGCTGTCTCCAAAGAATAAGAAGAGTCGACTGCAGTATGCCAAAAGCCATGTGGACAAACCACAAAAGTTGTGGGATAGTGTTCTGTGGACTGATGAAACAAAATTAGAACTGTTTGGGCCCATGGATCAACGCTATGTTTGGAGGAGGAAGAACAAGGCCTATGATGAAAAGAAACACCTGCCTACTGTGAAGCATGGTGGAGGGTCATCATGCTTTGGGGCTGTTTTGCTTCTGCAGGTACAGGGAAGCTTCAGCGTGTGCAAGGTACCATGAATTCTCTTCAGTACCAGGAGATATTGGATGGAAACGTGATGCAGTCCGTCACACACCTGAGGCTTGGGAGACGTTGGACCTTTCAACAGGAGGACATGATCCCAAGCATACCTCCAAGTCCACTAGAGCATGGTTGCAGAGGAAAGGCTGGAACATTTTGGAGTGGCCATCGCAGTCACCAGACTTAAATCCGATTGAGAACCTCTGGTGGGACTTAAAGAAAGCAGTTGCAGTGCGCAAGCCTAAGAATGTGACTGAACTGGAGGCCTTTGCCCATGAAGAATGGGCGAAGATACCCGTAGATCGCTGCAAGACACTTGTGTCAAGCTATGCTTCACGTTTAAAAGCTGTTATAACTGTAAAAGGATGCTGTACTAAGTACTAAGATTGAATGTCACTTGGGGGTTGAATAAAACTGATAATGCTGTGAGCACAGAAAAGACATTTGTGGTTATTTCATTATAACTGTTATGTTATATTTGTCTGACCTACAAGTGCCTCTTTAATGTAAATGTAAGCAAGATGACTGAATGATCAAAAGCAATGTCAAACTGGCCAAAACACTCAATTTCAGTGGGGGTTGAATAATTTTTGGACACAACTGTATATGCTACTCCTGGCACTGATATCATACTCCCAACACTGATATTTTTTACACTCAGCACTGTTATCTTACATTTGGCACTGGAATCATACTCCTGATACTGTATATCCTACACCCTGCACTGATGTACCCCTGACACTGATATATCCTACTTCCAGCACTGATATCACACCCCATGCAATGATATATCCTACACCGATATTCCCCTGACACTGATATATCCTACACCCTGCACTGATATTCCCTTGACACTATTATACCTTACTTCCAGCACTGATATCCCACACCTGGCACTGATATCCTACACTTGACTTTGGAATTATACACATAACACTGATATCCTACACCTGGCACTGATATCCTACACTTGACTTTGGAATTATACACCCACTGATATCCTACACCTGGCACTCATTGAATACCCCCTGGCATACTGATATATCCTACACCCAGCACTGACAACATATACCCAACACTGATATCATGCTCCCGCAACTGATATATCCTACACATGCCACTAATATCCATACTTCCAGCACTGATATATTTCACTGAAATTGTACACCTGGCCCTGAAATATCAGACTTCCAGCAATGAGAGCCTACCCCCCACCCAGCACTGATATCCTGTATATAGGGAGATGATTCTCCAGTGCTTGTTATCACTCACACTGTGTCAGTGGAGGTTCCTGTGGGGGAGGGGAGCCCCCTGTCAGGTTTTATTGTTTTCTCTGGAGGGGGACAGTCACCATATACTTCTGGGGACAAAAATGGGTTAATGGGCCGACTGGGTTTAATGGGCCGACTAAATGAGGGGGAGGGGTTAATAGGCCGACTAAGGGAAGGGGGGTTAATAGGCCGACTAAGGGAGGGGAGGGGTTAATAGACAAACTAGGGAGGGGTAAGGGAAGTAAGGGGGGGAGGGGTTTAATAGGCAGACTAAGGGAGGGGAGGGGTTAATAGACAAACTAGGGAGGGGAAGGGGTTAATGGGCAGAGTAAGGGAGGGGAAGGGGTTAATGGGCAGAGTAAAGAGGGGGAGGGGTAACTAAGGGAGGGGAAGGGGTTAATAGGCTGACTAAGGGAGGGGAAGGGGTTAATGGGCAGACTAAGGGAGGGGAAGGGGTTAATGGGCAGAGTAAAGGCGGGGGAGGGGTTACTGGGCTGACTAAGGGAGGGGAAGGGGTTAATGGGCAGACTAAGGGAGGGGAGGGGTTAATGGGCAGACTAAGGGAGGGGAAAAGGTTAATGGGCAGAGTAAAGGCGGGGGAGGGGTTAATGGGCTGACTAAGGGAGGGGAAGGGGTTAATGGGCTGACTAAGGGAGGGGAAGGGGTTAATGGGCTGACTAAGGGAGGGGAAGGGGTTAATGGGCTGACTAAGGGAGGGGAGGGGTTATTGGGCAGACTAAGGGAGGGGTTAATAGGCAGAGTAAAGGGGGGAGGGGTTAATGGGCAGACTAAGGGAGGGGTTAATAGGCAGAGTAAAGGCGGGGAGGGGTTAATGGGCAGACTAAGGGAGGGGAAGGGGTTAATAGGCAGGTCACATACAGAAACAAGATGGGGATCAGAAATCTTGGGGGGAGGGGGGATATCTGCAGCTTTTGATCTGGATCTGTTGAATGAGTCCTCCATCTATTGGTTCCTTCAATGTAAACAGTACACTGTTTGTCTGCGATCCCTGTGATTGGTCATCACAGTGATCACATGGTACCGAGCAGTCGGTTCGGTTCGCCTGCTTTCCCATATTCTTCTTGTATGACACATGACAATATGCAGAGTCACCACTAGAGGAGCTCTGAGCAGCTTGGGCTCCACATAACAGTGACTTGGACATGAGGCCACATAGGGGGGGCATGGTTTTTAATGAGTCGTCCCAACTTGTATTGTGAGAAACATGGAGAGCCTGAGGGTGTGAGGAGCAAATATGTCTGCTGCTGCCCCGGGAATCTCTACTGCCGGACATCACATAGGAAGGAGGAGGTCGCAGCATTCCGATCGATCCGATTATTCCCATGAGGCTGACGAGTTTATCTAAGGAAACCATCGATCAGAATGAGTGACACAGAATCCCGGAGTTACACCTCCCACTATAGAAAGTCCCACGTGGGGACAACACGTAAT